CCATTAAAATTTAGAATAGACAATGCCCGTGTTTGGATATCGGCGGCTTTGGCCAAACCGCTAACTTTTTACAAAGTGAAACACTGCAAAGAGCAGTGGTTTGGTGTGAAACCTCCAAAAAACAAATGGAGCTAATATAAGCATGAATCTATTGTTTTTGAGCATTTTTGGACACCCATTAATTGAGGTTTTCCTTCACCCATTAATGAAAACAAGTTTGGAGTTTCTTTAGTTTTTTATACCTATTGGGGCTAATTCTTTTCAACCCAAAGGCCCAACTCCCAAGACGTTCCTATGGATTTCGAGTGGAGAGTTTAATGAATGTAGGATGCAAGCAAGTGAAGATGGGTCAATAACAAGAGTAGTAAGCGGGTCGTATCTTATTAAAAGATAATAAGAGTCCGTATACAACACACTTCAACTACATGCCCCGAGGTCGTTCGTCTATCTCGGTAAGAAGAGCTAGAGATGCTTGCCATTGCTAGAGAGAATAAGTTGTCAACTCTTTACAATGAAATAAATGCTACTATGTATACCACGAAGATGTAGGTGATACTGATGATGTGGATGACAATGAGTGACTAGCTTTAATTCTCAACCACCAAATCTACTACATTAAATGCGCCTCCCGCCAATATCTTGGTATCTCGCCAAGAGGTCTAGACGAACGTCCACTCGCCGTTGAGATCTAGGTGCATACCGGCACAGGGGTGCTAACTTCGCTCGGCCTGTGCTCATCGTCCTCTTTGTACCTCCTCGGCCACTAACTGGCTTAATGGACCAAGGGTGTTGGGGCCGATCGTCCGCTCAGTGGAGACTAGTGCCTGGCTATGCATCTCGATGGACCGTGCCCAAATTGGACCCTAATGGTTTATCTGCTAAGGGGTAATGGACCGATCCCTAGTTGGGCATATTAACCCAACACAAGTCCCCCACTTCTGATGTTCTTAGCGACACAGGACATAAGGAAGTATAAAAGCTTCCACCGAACCAAGCTGCATTGACGCTCCTGATGTGACATTTACTGTTATTAGGCGGTACCCTGAACCCAACACGAATCCTCCACTCCTGAAGTATAAATGAAACATTAAAATTTTAAAACAAATACACCAATAACATCACCATTATCATCAATGACCTCATTACGTAACAGACTAATCAAAATCACTTTTGAAAATATACTTGATTTATTGTATTTAGTTATTGTCTAAATAACCGTATCATTTTTCAATGAGAATGAAGCTTATATCGGGACGGATTCAGTACTACATACATTGTTTACATAAATTCCTAATTTGAATTGTACACATTAAAAAATATATGTCTCTTAGTTTCTTCAAATTTCATTTTACTGGTGGAGAACAGCCACTTTAAAACACTGAGGTTATACTCGAATCTTATATTAGCCATTAAAATTTAGAATAGACAATATACGCATGAATCTAATGTTTTTGAGCATTTTTGGACACCCATTATTTGAGGTTTTCCTTCACCCATCATGAAAACAAGTTTGACGTTCCTTTAGTTTTTTATACCTAATAAATAACTTGTTTATTTATGTATTTGATTTTACAGTATTTACTAAGATACTCTTTTTGCGAAACGTTAGCATGAATCATACTTTTTGGGTAAGTCACCGAAATCTGTACCTGCCAATCAGAAAAGAGTACACATGACATTGCCTATTTGATTTTTCAATTTTATTTTCTGATTACTAAATACACCATTTAGTTTTATATTTTGTTTCCGGATTCTTGTAATCCGACGAAACCTAATCCTCTAACTGACACTAAAAGTCGAATTACACTTTTCTGTTTCCCATATATCTATACCCTAATTGGAAGTTTACTGCTTTGGTAACGACTTCGCAAAAACTTCACGCATCCGTCATTTTCTCATATCTTTGGTATCTGTTTGAGATGACTAGTGAGAGCAAGTGTCGCACTTTTAAGGTTTTATTCTCAATTATTGGTTGATGAGTTATAGAACTTCGGGTAGTCAATATCTAGAGAAAAGTTATAGCATATTTAGAATCAGAAAGTTGTGTAACAAATTTGGCAAAATAACAAAATATGAACATTCGGCCATTTCTAATGGGAAGGTGGCTATATACAGGAAAACCAAAGATGAGACAACTTAACGGGATGGAGAGAGTAATTGTTTTTTAATTTATAAACTGAACATACAATGTTTACAAATATGAGATGGAAATTACATGATGTACGTCATGGTTGACACAAGTAATACCTATCTTAGTATCTTTACAATTGGTGTAAAAAAAGTAGGTCCTAAAAAAGTATCATTACCATTCTTACAATTATACTCACTCCATCCCAATTTAATCTTTTCACTTGTTTTTTAGAAAATAATCAGCATGTTAAATGAAACAAAAATACACCAATAACATCACCATTATCATTAATGACCTCATTACGTTACAGACTAATCAAAATCACTTTTGATTTATTGTATATAGTTGTTGTATATACTTGGTTTATTGTATATAGTTATTGTCTAAATAATTGTATCATTTTTCAATGAGAATGAAGCTTATATCGGGACGGATTCAGTACTACATACATTGCTTACATAAATTTCTAATGTGAATTGTACACACTAAAAAATACGTGTTTCTTAATTTCTTTAAATTTTTCATTTTACTGGTGGAGTAGAGCCACTTTAAAACACTGAGGTTATAACTGAATCTTATATTAGCCATTAAAATTTAGAATAGAAAATATAAGCTTGAATCTAATGTTTTTGAGCTTTTTTGGACACCCATTATTTGAGGTTTTCCTTCACCCATCATGAAAACAAGTTTGAAGTTCCTTTAGTTTTTAATACCTAATAAATAACTAAATTGATGTATTTAATTTCACAATATTTTTAATAAGATATTCTATTTAACAAAACATTAGCATTAATCTCACTTTTGGGTAAGTCCCTGAAATTTGTACCAGCCAATCAGAAAAAAATACACATGATGTTGCCTATTTGATTTTTCAATTTTATTTTCTGATTACTAAATACGTCATTTGTTTTTTATTTTGTTTCCAGAGTCTTTTAATCCGACGAAACCTAATCCTCTAACTTACACTAATAGTTGAATTCTATACACTTTTCCGTTTCCCATATATTTGTACCCTAATGGGAAGTTTCCTGCTTTGGTAACGACTTCGGAAAATGTCCACGCATCTGTCATTTTCTTATAGCTTTAATTTGCTATCTGCTTGAGATGAATAGTGAGAGCTGGTGGGACATTTTTAAGGTTTTATTCTCAATTATTGGTTGATGAGTTATAGAAACTCGGGTAGTCAATATCTAGAGAGAAGTTAGAGCATATTTAGAGTGAGAAAGCTGTCTAATAAATTTGGCAGAATAACAAAATAGGAAAATTCGACCATTTCTTAAAGTTGAAGGTGGCTACATACAAGTAAACCAAAGATGAGACCACTTAACGGGATGGAGAGAGTAATTGTTTTTAATTTATGAACTGAGTATAAATTGTTTACAAATATGTGATGGAAATTTCATAATATACATCATGGATTCATGCTATAACTGTCTTTTCGGCATGCGGCTTGCGTCGTTTCTTGTCTGGTGAATGATTTGGAGCGTAAGTGGGCTGTCAATTGTTATCACGTTTTGCCTATCCATGATCCTTTTCTCTATGGTTGATGTTCTTGGATTTGTTGCTATGGATCGAATCTGGAGGTCTGTGATTGATACTTTCGATTGGAAAATTGTCTGGTAATTTCTGAATGGAGTTCTGAGCATGGGAGAAGATAGATTGGCAGACCGCCACCTTGGAGCGACCGAGGTGATAGGGTTTGAAAGATGATACTTCCAGAATACTGGCCGGAAATGGAGTATTTGTCATCCGTTTTATTTTTATGGTCTTACTTTCACGTTAAGTTTGTTTATGTTGCTCAATTTTTTGATGATGTCTTTACTATTATGTCTACACTAAGGAATGACAATTCTGCTAGATATTATGTCGTTAAAAGGATCCATATGGCCAGTGATTGTTGTGTCAAACCCGCTTGGTGGTTAGCGATTCGTATTGCTCTTTCAGGGGTGATCGTCTCTGAGTCTAGCCGTAGGGTTGGTCTTTGTGAAGGGCTGACATCATCAGTTCCCCAAAGCTGATTGACTTCATCCCAAGCAGATAGCAACGGTACGAGAAAATGATGAATGCGTGAACTTTTTGCGAAATCATTCCCAAAGCAGCAAGATTTCGATTAGGGTATTAATATATGGGAAACAGATAAGTGTAATTTGACTGTTGGTGTCAGTTAGACGATGAGATTTTGTCGGATTATAAGAATACAGAAACAAAATAAAAACTGAATGACGTATTTAGAGAACCCGGAAAATCAAATTAAGAAACAGATAGGCAACGTCATGTGTACTTTTCTCTTATTGACTAGTACATATTACGGTGACGTATCCAAAATTTTGATTCATGCTAACATTTTGTTAAACAAAACATTTTATTAAATATTAAAAAATTAGTAAATACACCAATCAAGTTATTTATTGGGTATGAAAAAACTAAAGAAACTCAAAACTTGTTTTAATTGATGGAAGAAGGAAAACCTCAAATGAGTGTCTAAAAACTACTCAAAACTCATTACATTCATGCTTATATTATCTTTTCTAAATTTTAATGGTCAATATAAGATTCACGTATAATCTCATTGGTTAATGTGACTCTTCTCCCCTAGTAAAATGACATTTGAGGAAATAAAAAAACACATATTCGTTTTATGTGTATACAATTCAAATTAGGAATTTAATCAAAGAATATAAGTAATAGTGTATCTGTCCTGATTTAAGCTTCTCATTTAAAAATGGTACGATATGTCTGCTATTATCTGTGTACACAAACATTTGTGACAAACTTTAAAATATTATTGTAAAAAATCCATTAAAAGAGTTACTTGTATACATAGAAAACTTGAAAGGTAGAAACATGGTACACTTTTTGTGTATAAATAGTTTATTTCAAGATTTGTTTGATGTTAGAAATTCATCTCAAAAAGGTTCTTCCAAAGTTATCCTTCAATCCCGGACTGGACCCAGGTAGGCAGCAGACCGCCGCGAGAACCACTACGTCTCCCTCGCTTCTCCGGAGGGGTTGCTGCCTATATACTCCAAAATCCAACACCATAAAAGCACCACCCATAGCTTTTTCAATCTAATAAAAAGGGTTTAAACTCCTAGTGGGGCAAAAAAAAAGAAAACAAGATCCACCTCGAATCCCTCCTCTTCCTCTGTCTAAAAACATCAAACCTCCTTTCTGAGAAAGATTTCATCTTTTCTCTGATTCTGCAACTATTTCTCCCATTTTCGTCTATCTACTGTACAATTCTTCTCTCAGTCAGCGGTTTAATTTCTTGGATTCCGGCGGGTCGGAAATCGAAGATTATCCGGCGAGCTCTGTGTGGAAATCAGAGGTGGTGAAATGAGGGAGGATGACTCGAATTGGTTTGCCAAATGGGAAGATGAACTTCCTTCTCCGGATGAGCTCACCCCCATATCTCAAACCCTAATCACCCCTGATCTGGCCATCGCTTTCGATATCCAGAATCCCCAATCTCACCCGCCGCCGTCCTCACAGGCGCCGTTGATGGCGGACTCCTCCGCGGAATTCGACTCCGAATTGGGCTGTGGAGGCGGGGGCGGTGGCGGGCCTTCGGGTTCCGGCGGGGGAGACGAGCCGGCCCGGACCCTGAAAAGGCCCCGCCTTGTGTGGACCCCGCAGCTCCACAAGAGGTTCGTCGATGCGGTGGCGCACCTGGGGATCAAGAATGCCGTCCCCAAGACTATAATGCAGCTGATGAGTGTGGACGGGCTGACTCGCGAGAACGTCGCCAGCCATTTGCAGAAGTACAGGCTTTATCTGAAGCGTATGCAGGGTCTCTCTAATGGCGGCGGCGGCGGCGGCAGCAGTTCTGCATCTGGAGGGGTGGATCCGGCGACGGACCATCTGTTCGCAAGTTCTCCGGTGCCGGCGCATTTCTTGCACCCCGTCAGGTCCAACTCCGACCATTTCTTGCCGTTTGTCCCGGTTGTCTCCCCCTCCGCCGCAATGCAACACCCCGGCCACCACATGGCCGCCGCCGCGGTGGTCGGACACCACCACCCGCAGCTCCAGCAACCGTATGGGCTTTTCGGGTCGCCGCCAAACGGGCACTTTGACCACTCTTCATTCTTGTCCAGACAATCACATCAGCAAATCCATAGGATAGGAGGAGCACCGTATTTGGATGATGTGGAATCCGCCACGTCATCTCACCGGAGAAAGGTTCTGACCCTGTTTCCTACCGGCGGCGATTAAATTCAGGAACTGTACGTTTATCCTTTTTCTTGTCCAGCACATGTATAGATTATTTTGAACATTTCAAGTTTGGAATAATATTCCTTTCATGTTATAGCTGTAGAGTTATGATCTGTTTTTTTGTGTGGATGGGTGTCATTCCAAAATTGTCAATCCCCTGATCAGAATTCAGTGTTCCTTCTTCAAGTGATTTTGTGTGAAATGTTAAGCTGGATCTGGTGGATATGTTGGAGGGTACTATTGTAATTATGATTTGGTGGGCAGTCTTGTACCTTTTTTTTGTTGCCTACCAGTGATCTTGGCCTTTGTTGATATGATGATATCCATCCTCACATGCAATAGTGTTGTTCTTACTTGTAAGTTGTAGACATCCCCTCACCCCACCCCCACCCCCACCCCCACCACCACTTCCACAGAAAATAATGGTTTGAAGAATCTTTTGATCAAAAGTGGTTCCCTTTTGAAGGTTGTTCTAACTGTTCCAGTTTGGGGATGTGATGGTGTCCTTGCATCCATTGATTCTAAAGCATCAATTGCCCATATTTGGACCATACAAATGGAGAATATTGACAAATTGCCAATTCCGTATTGCTAATTTAGGGTCCTTTTGGTGATTACTCCCTCGGTCCAATAAATTCTTCCAACTTTGAGTTGGCTTGGATATTTAGGAAGTGAAATAAAGTGGAAATGTATGGTTGTGCTTGTGTAAGAAAAAAGTGAAATGAATGTGAGCTACACAAATAATCCAAAAAGAGGGAGTTGGAAGAATTTTTTGGGACGGCCCAAACGGAAAGTTGGAAGAATTTTAAGGGACGGGGGGAGTATATTTTTGGCTTATCAGTCACTTTTTTATCAAATGAGTAGTACATAATTTTTTGATTTCGCGTAGAGAAATGTATTATGTTAGAACCTTAGGTTGGAGTTATTTTTCTAGTTGAATAGGGTGAATTTATTGTGGACCATTTTAACTATTTTTTCATAATTACTTTCTTAATAAAATATACTCCGTATTTTTTTTTATAATTTGGCATATTCCGTAGATTCATCTTATTCACTCAATTTCAATGTTATCAAACGGGCTCTTAAGAAATAGAAATAGTGACAGAGTTACATCCAAGTTCAAGGCCATATTACCATTTGGGAGTAAAATTACAGTTTTTCCCCTTGTTGTATTTGTGAAGTAATTGTGCTTCAATGATAGGATTAGGGGTGGCCCGGGACCGGTCTGACCGGCCCGGGATCCGGACCGGACAGCCACTGTGCGGGACTGGCCCGGTTGACCGGGACCGGGCCTAGCCCGGGGGTTGTTTTGAGGGCGGTCTCGAGCTGCAGTTCCTTTGGTGCTGGCCCAGCCAGTTCGGGATCGGTCCGGGCCCAACTTTTTTTGGGGGGTTTTTCAACTGGTTTGGGTAATTGGAACCACAAATTTTTTACTTAAATGGGAAAGTGGCAAAGTTAATGGGACATCCAAAAAAGGAAAGTTGACAAAATTATAAGCGACGGGGGGAGTATCATATTGCGATACAAATTAAATTATCCAAACGACCTTTTTTCCTTTCCCAACATGTGAATCTATTTTCCTTTCAAAAAAAGGAGAATAAAATTCTCTAAATAGGAATAAAAACGTTTTGAACTTCCAAAATAGGGCTATCATATTTTTTATTCCCTAAATAAAAGTAAATTTCTGTCAAGTTTGGCATTACTAGGCTTTAAACATGACATTTTTTTCAAATCTGGCAAATTTTTCCTATTTAGGGAATAAAAAACATGATAGTCCTATTTTGGAATTTCAAAACGTTTTTACTCCTATTTAGGATGTTTTCTTTTGGACTGTTTTCAGTCCCAGACCAGACTTCCGTAGTTATAAAATACACAGAGAGCAGACGTATACCGGACCAGACCAGATCACACTAGACCAGACCAGCAAATTTCAGTCCAAAAGAAAACATCCTTGGAGCAATTTCTCGAAAAAAGAACATCTGAATCTACTACCTATTTATGCCACGCTTCATTTTAGTGTATAGTTGTGCAACCAAATTTGATTAAGATTTTCAACTCATAACCCGTTTGGTAATGCTGAAATTACCTTAATTGATTGATTCTACCGAAGTTTATGAAATTATGTCCGAAGTGACAAGATTGAATAATTCGGTTGATTTATGAAAAAAAATATATATTTAAATATATATTTTATTAATAAAACAAAGAAAAAAATTATATAAAAACAATTAATATGGTAATCTACAATAACTTCAGCTAATTTAGCCAAAAAAGTAATTCTAAACTTACTTGTTTTAATTATTACACAATTCAGTGTGATAGAACAAAAATTATGTGTTTAAGAAAAATAGGTTTGATAAATCAGAATACATAGTCACACCAAAACGAATTCTTAATTTCACTCCTTTACCAGTTCGTATACCGTGGTATCACCCCACGGTGAGCACTGTGCTCCCACACCCAAAACGACGTATTTTTGCACAATTTTTTTTTTTAAAAATCGCGTGAACAGTAACGCGTGAACAGTACACGCGTGAACAGTAACTGTTTTTTTGTCCCAATAGTATGAATGATGTAACTCGCGTGTAAAGATATGTAACTCACGTTATTGATCAATGTAACTCAAGTTAATTCGAAATGTAACTTATCAAATACATATTATACGAAACAAAACATTGATTTCAATGCAAACAATGAAAAACAAGAGTCTAACTACACAATTACTTTACGTAAATCGTGAATATGTTTTTTGTTTTTAATATCATGACCATCATAAGGATTTAAAAAAAAACATTTTTTTGTTTCAATAGCAGGGGGTTATTTTTTTATGTAACTCATGTTATTACAAATGTAAGTCGCGTTGATGATAAATGTAACTTGCGCTTCAGAAGATGTAACTCACTTATAAAAAATGTAACTCAAGCATAAAAATATGTAACTCGCCCATGAGAAGGTGTAACTCAAATATAATTTCAGGAATCATGTATATATGTAACTCACATATATGGAAATGTAAATCACATACATGAAAATTTAATCACCTGTTTTATCATAAAAAAGTAATAAAGGAGATGTACAGGCTATGGCATTGCAAATTTCAGTTGGAACCATGGATTAACTTCAGATTTTTTGGGTTTTCTTGGTCGTTATTGACACCTAAGTTCATCTCCGATCCTGTATTTGAAATTAGATACATGAATCATGGCCAAAAGCTCAAAATCGTATGGAAAAATCGTGAAAATGACTGTTTACTTCAGGATCGATTTCTGTATTAAGAGTTAGTTTAAGTGCTTGTTGCTCCATTCTAAGGTTTATTTGGAGTTTATCTTCCTAAGACGAACGAACTCAGTGACCCTGTTCTTGATTGGGATAAGGTCGTTTAGTTGTACCCTAGCTCGGACACTGCTCATCGTTCTCAACGCTAGAGTAGTTCGCTGCTCGATGCTCACTGATTAATGAAAACGGCACCGTTTGGGATCGGCACACCGTGCGCAAGGTGGGCCGACCCCACAGTATAATTTGCCCTCCTTTACCCTTGTTTGAGACCCGGAATGATGGTGAAGTGGAAAAACAATGGTTAGACTTTTTTCAATGGTGGATTTTATCTTTTGGAAAGTATGAACCAAAACTAAATTTGGTAACAACTTGCCAGAATTTTAATAACATAAAAAAACTTGCTAGTGTTTGTAGAAATATACTACCTCCGTTCTTAAATAAAAGCAACACTTTGACTTTTACACTATTCACATGTTCTACTTTGACTACGTTTTATTTATTAATGTAATAATATTATTTTATGAAAAAAAATATTGTTAAACTTGTCTCATTGTAAATTTTCATAATCTAATTTTTTTAATTTTTTTACTAATACAAAATCATTTATATTAATGGTCAAAGTTGTGTCTCGGCAAGTGTGAAATGTTGACCGTTGCATTTATTTAAGAACGGAGGAAGTATAAATAAAGTAACACGAGGCATGATCTAAAATTGTTTCACTGAGCCTGAGTTTTTGGTACTTTGAGGTGAACTGTTGAAGGAATTTAATTTATTATACAGTCCATGAATAAAAAGTCAAAAAATTACGCTTGGATTCCTTGATAAATCCAGTTAACTAATCTGGACCATAGGAATTGCGCCAGATTGTCTGGAATATTTCTTTTGGGTGAAAAAGCACGTCATAGAGTACAATCAGCAGCTTATTATATTTATATGCCTGAAAGCGACAACGAATTTAATTTTCTAATTTGAAGACAAGATGACAACTACTTTGATATTCTCCCCAACTTATTAAAAAAGAACAAAGGTGATTCCTAGCAACTTCAACCCAATCTTCCACAGCAGAATTGTTGAGTTAAACAAACAAGTATTAGTGCCAACTGTCTTTGTTTGTTCCCTCTTATCTCTGGATCCCCTTCCCGAATGCACCACTTTTAAAAGGGAGTCTACTTTTTCTATATAGGGCGGTTCTCACTTCCTCGGATGAGTCTATCTCAAGTCCTCACAAAGTTAGATCGGTCCATGGGATAGTTTTTTACCGTAGAAATGGTAGGAGTACATAATTTGTGTACACAACTTATACATAAAATGCCGGTCACAGACAATTGATACAGAATTGTCTATGAGTACAGACAAAAATTGTCTCTGCACACAGACAGAAGTGCATAGACAACTTTTATCTGTGTCAACAATCATTAATTTTCGTGTAAAAAGTAATCTGACAGTTGTCTGACACTGACATCAGCTTGCAAATCAATCTATATTTGTGCAGTGCTTGTGTGCACATATAATATTTTCCTGCTGCACGGACAATTATTTGTCTCTGTGCACATACAACATTTACCACACAAACAATAGTCGTGCGGCTCATAGACAATAGTTGTTTGTGTAATCAACTTTAGTTATCGTGTGTGAACAATTTTAATTGTCTAGGTGAACAACAAATTTAATTGTCTATATACATCAAAATGAATGATGTAGTTGAATTTGTGATCAATTCACATGTGAATTTGAAAAAAATAGCAAAATAATAAAAATAGATGAATTAAGATGAATAACTTATTTTGTGCAAATAATGGAAAAAATTTTATATAAAAAGATAGAGAAAAAGAGGATGAAGAAGGGAAGAGGAGGATGGAGAAGAGAAGAGATTGAGCAAAGAGAAAGAGAGAAGGGAGAGAGGGGGGAAAGAGAAGGGAGAGACAAGGAGGGGGAGAATGACATTTTTTTGCTTTTATACTATGTACAACTTGTATACGCTGGGAATTTTTCTTTTTACTATTACGCATAAGAAATCATTTTGAACTGGTCAGGTTCCTACCGTAATCATCGGATGAATCATCAATCGGTTGGTCAAATA